GGCGTTCAGTGTCCTGTTTGATGGATCTGGGAAGTGAGAGGGTTAGTCATCGGCCCCATTGGAAGGCAACTTCTTACCTGTGGACACCCCTGGAAGTTGAAATGACACAGGCTTTCAGGCAAACTTTCCTGCGGCCTGTGGGCTGCATGTAGCCCAGGATGGCTTTGAATGTGGCCCAACAGAAATTCATAAACTTTCTTAAAACATAAGATTAAAAAAAAATTTTTTTTTTAGCTCATCAGCTATCATTAGTGTTAGTGTGTTTTATGTGTGGCCCAAGACAATTCTTCTTCTTCCAATGTGGCCCAGGGAAACCAAAACATTTGACACCCCTGCTTTAGGGTCAGACAACTGGGTTCAAATCTCAGCATCTTCACTGACTGGTCATGGAACTTCAGTCTCTCCACTTCCTGAAGAGGCCTCAAATCTATCATCTCTCCTATTCTGCTCTCTTTCTCCTCCTCTTCCCATCCATACCAGCCACAATCTTGCAGGGGCAAATTCTTTGCCAGAAACTGCCAATGAGCTGTTAAGGAAAAGTCTCCATTTCCAAGACCACTCACCCTCCTCCAGGCCCCTCATTCCCTCTGCAGGATATCTGCTCCTTTTATTCAGGTATTTGGGCACCTGAGTTGAAACTGAGTAAACTTTCTTGACTTCTCTACTTTGTACCAGGTGTTCAGCTAGGTACTTTCTCCTAATAACCTCCACAACAACCCAGTGAGGGAGTTTTATTATTATACCCATTTGATAGATGAGCAATCTGAGGCTTAGCAGAAGTCAGAATGTGGAGCTGGGATTGGTCCCTAACCCATAGCCCTCCAAGCCCGGTGCTCTGCCTCCATGCAAGCACAGCTGAGTGCAGTCATTGCCCAGAGCTGTGGGGATGGAAATCAAGGAAGCCTGACTCATAACTAGGTAGTTGGGAAGCTGGAGCCACAGTGACTCCAGCCTGCAGTGTCTGCGTGCTGAATTAGGGAGCTTGCATTGCTCGTGGAGTCAGGGTAGTCTTGAGTAGGCCCTAAAGGCTCCTTGGAGAGCTTGGGATGACTAGAGCCCTTTGGATAATAGCAAAAGTCATAATAATGACATCAACTGTGATTTGTTAAATCCTTACTACATGCCAGGTCTCATTTAATCCTCCTGGCAACCCTGAGAGGAGGAATGGTTGCCAGAATTCCCCATCTAAATTTGTGTGACTCCAAGGCTCACCTAGGTCCCTTGCTGCAGGCGAGACATGCATCTCCCCCAGTAATGCCTGATAGCTCCACACTGGCTTTCTTCCCAAGAGACCAGGACTCGGCCAGGCCCTTTGGCCCTGCCCTTACCCTGGCTCCTCAGAACCCTGCCCCTAAGCCCTTAGTTTTGAGTTGGAGTGTGGAAAGGATAAACCCTCCCTAGGTGTGGTTGAGTCCCTCCTCCTTGAAACATTGAGACCTAAAAAAGGTAGAAGAGACTTTCTGAACCTTATTCAAAGCAAGGGAGGAGAAAAAAAAAGGAGGGCAGTCTTAATGTTTATAGACAATATAACATAACCCAAAGGACCATGTCTTCTCTATCCTGGCTCACAGGAAGCTGCAGGCAGGGCTGGGCTGGAACCTGGCTGCTCTCAACTGCTTTTACTCCATTCAAGGCTGCTTCAGGCAGAGATGGGGCCATTCCAGAAGCTCTTTGGTGGATAGAGGTGCCAGGACACAAAGCCAGAAACATACCATCTCAATTTAAGCATGGGAAAAATATGGTGCAGCTAGTTTATGACAATCCTAGGCAAAATTCCAGAAGTTCCTTTCCTAAGCAGGGATTATTGGGAGCCAAGATGGGTTCACTTAGGTCAAGGCATGACTAACTCCCCCGATTACTCTTGGAGGAACGGTAATCAGAGCATGTGTGGGAACAGGACCACAGACTCAGAATTTAAAAATAGGACTGTGCTGTTGTCAGAATTGCACTGAGGAAGAGAGAAGAGAGTTCACCAGCCAGAGTCTGAGATCCACTTGACCCCAGCCCATCACATATAACACTATAGGCTTCTCTTTCAAGCAGGTAGGCTCAAGGATGCTGCCACAAATTGCCTCATGGCTGGCAGTGGAGGAGGGGCCTTGGGACATTCAAGTGAGGAAGATGAGGAATTCAGAGGCAATGGACACTGATAACATACATTTGAGGGGGGGTGGTAGTATTTGTCCGATAAAGCGTGTAGGAGGTTGAAAGAGGTTGTAGTTTGCCCAGGGGAAGAGAACATTGAGAATCTCTTAGAATACATGACACGAAGGTCTGCAGGTTAAGGAGGGGCTGGTTTCCTTCTCCGGTACCATCGGCGTCACAGCCTGGGCGACAGAGCGAGACTCTATCTCAAATCAATTTTACTGTTGATGAGGCTTTTGAAATGTCTCACACATCTCTTTGAGGGTAAATGGAGAAATATGGACCAAATCTTAGGGTAGCTCAGCTCAGCCTTTGCATGGCTGTTTGCACCCCTCTGCCCAGACGAGAAGGAGTGGATTGATTCTGTTGGGTGTGGCTCTGCCCACCTTACGACCCAGAGCATCAAGCAGTGTGGTGATTTTTCTAACCCATACTGGTCTGCTCTGGGGGTGCCTGTGTGGAAGGCTGGGTGCAGAAGAAGGGAATGTCTGTCTACCGTGTGAGAGGAACACTGCTGATGTCCTTCCCCCAGTCCTGGGATTGGTTCCACACTACTGTCCACCTGCCTGCATGGCAGGGCCATTTCTACCGGAGGCCAAGGAGTGGAGAGGTTCAAGGTTCAGGCTCTGGAGTCAGGCTGCTCCCTGTTCCAGGCTCAGCTCCACCATTTTTTAGCTGGGTGACCTTGGGACAAGTTACTTAATTTATCTGTGCTTTATATTCTCTATCTGAAAAGGGGGATAATAGTGATGCCTAATTCACAGGGTGGGAGCTTTGGCCTTCGCTTTTTTGACCTGTGGCACAGTAAGAAATATATTTTATGTCAACTCCCAGTACACACATTCCTACATATATGTACATACATGAGAGCGTATAAGTGAAAAATGTTTTTCAAACAGCCCCTAACCTGAGTGCGGGTTGACAAACCATGGTCTATTCTATTCTATTCTTCTTTCATTAACCAAAATGTTGGTTGAGAGCCATTAAATTGATTTTACTATACATATGGGTCATCGGCCACAGTTTGAAAATCTCCAGGTTAGGCTGGGCACGGTGGCTCATATCTGTAATCTCAACACTTTGGGAGGCCGAAGCAGGAGAATCACCTGAGATCAAAAGTTCAAGACCAGCCTGGCCAACATGGTGAACCCTGTCTCTACTAAAAATACAAAAATTATCCGGGTGTGGTGGTGGGCTGTGCCTGTAACCCCAGCTACTCAGGAGGCTGAGGCAAGAGAATGGCTTGAACCCAGGAAGTAGAGGCTGCAGTGAGCCAAGATCATTCCACTGCACTCCAGCCTGGGTAACAGAGCGAGACTCCATCTCAAAAACCAAAAAAAA